TGGCCATACCACAATCCCTTCTCCTCCATTCTCTTCTTGGGATCTTGGGCACGCATGCAAATGTGCCCGGCATGAGTTTAAGACACCAGGTCCAGCACTCAAACCAAGGTCGACTACATGGGAGTCCAGTGACATAGCCATTACACCAACTGCTGGTCAATGTAGATTAAAAAAAGAAAAAAGAAAAAAGAAAAATAAAACTAAAAGTGACTATATTTTTTATATAATGTTTAATTTTGTAAACTGTATGATTCATGTTTGAAAGAGTATATTTTTGTGCTTTTGAGACACTGAATGGTGAGGGTCACTCCAAGCCCTCAGAAATATCACAGATATAACCACCTTTTCACTCACAGTCTTTTCTACATGGAGATCAAAGTACTTTGGTATCAGTAGGTTACTAAAGAGACTTCATGGAGAAAAAAATAACACAACTCCATAGGAGTTGAGACTTTCAAGCAGTTGAGTAAATTATTAGTCCTCGGGTCAATAGAAAAGTTTTGAGACTAACTTCCCCTCAGGGACAGGTCTCTTTGATGAAAATATCTGACACACTTGAGCATTAAACCCCTTAAAAGGAAATGGAAAACTGTTTCATAATTTCCTCATTGGAGTTTGTGAGAACTGAACCTATTTCTAATTCAGTAATCTGTGCTGCTTCGCTTTTGCAGTTGATCAGAAAGCCTCGACCTGAAATTGAAAATTTTAGGGAGTCTTGTGACTAAATTGACCCAGACCCTGCTCTACTAAACCTTCGCATATCCAACAATTTTATCAAAATTGTGCCATGAGTTATTCCATTCGATATCATACTCGTAAAAATCTTATTTTATACGTCTTAGAAAACACCTAACAAATTTAAATATCATTTCTTTACGTCTCTTCCTCATTTCTGACAAGCCTTTAAACTTTAGGGATTAAGGAAGAGCTAATAGTTAAATTAGCTAGCTAAATTAAGTAACGTTGCATATACTAGGAACTTCAGTGAAAGAGGAACCTAAAGAATACAAATTCTCATGTATAAATATGTAGAGTAGTGAGCATGTCAGAGCTAGTATGATACTTCCCCCCATAGTAAAAAGTATAGGGTCCTTGAACCTTTCTGTCTCACCATTCTAGTGGGTAGGTTTTCTTTAATTATTATTTAATTTTATTAATTATTATTACTTTTAATTTGCTATAAGGCAAGTGCACTCACCAGAGAGAGAGAGAGACAGGGAAAGAAAGAAAGCAAGCCGCAGGCCTCGAGGTCTAGGCTTAAAGCCATAGTCGGCCATGTGGGAGTCCCAACGCCTTAACCACCACACCACCTGCTGGCCCAAACTAGTGGATAGTTTTATTTGTAAGATTACCTCATAGCACGAGATCATTACTGGGGTCCCAGCAACTGCATAAAGATTTCTGTTACCTAGAAAGAGAAAGAAATCAAAGCAAAAGAAGTATGTCTTCCACACGAGTGAATTCTCTTCAAGTAGGGTTAAGGAAGTCACACATAACAGCTCCGCATAGTTACTTAGTTTCAAGTTTACCATGCTAGAAAACAAGTTGGACAACGTGTTCATTTAGCTGGGGACATTGCCATCCATAATAAAATTAGATTTGTTTCCTT